GCACACCTGGGAGCCATTCACACACCTGGGCCACGCCCACCGCACATCTGGGCCACGCCCAGCGCACACCTGGGAGCCATTCACACACCTGGGCCATGCCCAGTGCACACCTGAGATTTATTATTCACACCTGGGCCACGCCCACTGCACACCTGGGAGATATTTACACACCTGGCCACGCCCACTGCACACCTGGCATTCACACACCTGGCCACGCCCACGTCACACACAGGCCACGCCCACTGCATACCTGAGATTCATTTTCACACCTGAGCCACGCCCACTTCACACCAGGGAATCATTCACACACCTGGGCCACACCCACCATGCACCTGTGACTCATTTGCACACCTGGGCCACGCCCACTACACACGTGAGGTTCATTTTTCACACCTGGGCACACACCTGGGCACACCTGGGCCCCCAAAAACCGCTCCAGGTGTACGCACGTCCATCCAGGTGTGCCCAGGTGTGCCCAGGTGAGCTCAGCTGTATCTCAGGTGTGTCCATGTCCATCCAGGTGTGCCCAGCTGTATCTCAGGTATCTCCAGGTGTATCCATTGTCCATCCAGGTGTATCCCAGGTGTGCCAAGGTGTGCCCAGGTGTATCTCAGGTGTGTCCAGGTGTATCTCAGGTGTGTCCGTTGTCCATCGATGTGTGCATGTCCATCCAGATGTATCTGAGGTGTCTCCAGGTGTGCCCAGGTGTGCCCAGGTGTGCCCAGGGGTGTCCATTGTCCATCCAGGTGTGTCCATTGTCCATCCAGGTGTGTCAATGACCATCCAGGTGTATCTCAGGTGTCTCCAGGTGTGCCCAGGTGTATCTCAGGTGTATCCATTGTCCATCCAGGTGTCTCCAGGTGTATCTCAGGTATATCCAGGTGTGTCCATGTCCATCCAGGTGTATCTCAGGCATGCCCAGGTGTATCTCAGGTGTCTCCAGGTGTGCCCAGGTGTATCTCAGGTGTGTCTATTGTCCATCCAGGTGTGTCCATGTCCATCCAGGTGTCTCCAGGTGTATCTCAGGTATATCCAGGTGTGCCCAGGTGTATCTCAGGTGTGTCTATTGTCCATCCAGGTGTGTCCATGTCCATCCAGGTGTCTCCAGGTGTATCTCAGGTATATCCAGGTGTGCCCAGGTGTATCTCAGGTGTGTCTATTGTCCATCCAGGTGTGTCCATGTCCATCCAGGTGTCTCCAGGTGTATCTCAGGTATATCCAGGTGTGCCCAGGTGTATCTCAGGTGTGTCTATTGTCCATCCAGGTGTGTCCATGTCCATCCAGGTGTCTCCAGGTGTATCTCAGGTATATCCAGGTGTGCCCAGGTGTATCTCAGGTGTGTCTATTGTCCATCCAGGTGTGTCCATGTCCATCCAGGTGTCTCCAGGTGTGCCCAGGTGTCTCCAGGTGCGCCCAGGTGCGCTCAGGGGGGCGGCAG